GGGACGGGACGGAAGCGGACCGGCCCCGAGCCCTGCTGCTCCTGCTCCTCCTCCTCCTCCTCCTCGCCCGCTCCCCCCAGGCCCAGCTGCCCGGAGGCGCCTTCTCCCCAGCAGTAGAGCATGGCTTCTCTTTTCTCTCGTCCAATCTTCACATCTCACCCGCATCAAGCTCGCTTTAGATGCTCCACGGAACACCCCCCCCCTTTTGTGCCAGCCCCGCCCACAAAGGCTTGTCAACTCCTTTCTCTGCCTCTGCGCCTGTGCCTTTAGCCACTGCAGCAACTCCGAAAGAGAAGGTTTTCTTTCCCCGCCGAAAAGCTTCCCCTGTGGATTTCTGCCTGCCGAGAGAAGAGCCGGTGGGAAAAGCGGGTTAGCGCTCTTTGTCACCTGGCAGGGCTGCCCTAATTTCAGATAGCCACATGCCAGGCAGAAAAAAGGGTTTTCTATCATTTACATCTGGGCTAAGTCACAAGTGTTGAACTTACGCCTGTGATATTGCCGGTCAAGGGGCATGAGCCACAGGTGTGTGTGTGGGGGGGGGGAGTGGAAGATGGCATTTGCAGCTTGTAGATCTTTCAGGAGGATTCTGTCGGCACTGACGTCAAAGCTTTTAATATGGCCTCTTTCTCTACTCACCTGTGACGTTTTTCTATGGCCCTTCTTCCAAGAAGTTCAAGCCTGTACTCTGTTTTATTATTGCAAGAATGTAGGTTAGACTGGGGGGGAGTGACTGGCCCGAGATCACCCACCAAGCTCGATGGCTGAGGAGGGATCTGAACCCGGGTCTACCCAGTCCCAGCTCGACACCCTAAATACTGGGAGTCCCTGCCTTAAATAGTTAAAAAGTCATATGAAGCCTGAAGGTGAACAGAAAAATCTAGGTGGGTCTACCCAGAAATAAAAAGGTAAAGGTTCCCTTGCTCGAAAGCCAGTCAAATCCGACTCTAGGGTTGCGGTGCTCATCTCCGTTTCCAAGCCGAAGAGCCAGCGCTGTCCGAAGACGTTTGCGTGGTCATGTGGCCGGCATGACTAAACACCAAGGCGCATGGAACGCTGTTACCTTCCCACCGAAGTGGTACCTATTTATCTACTTGCAATTTCTTGCTTTCGAACTGCTAGGTTGGCAGGAGCTGGAACTAGAGATGGGAGCTCACTCCATCATGCGGCACCTGGGTCTTGAACTGCTGAACTACTGACCTTCCACAGCCTGCAGTTCAGTGTCTTAACCACTTGAGCCACCCAGACGTAAGGCAAACTTTATTCATTTATTTCACTTATACACTGTTTTTCTCCCCTATGAGAACCCAAAGCCATTTACATGGTTCTCCCTTTTATCCTCACAACAACCCTGTGAGGTAGGTGAGGCTGAGAGTGTGCGACTGGCCCAAGGTCACCCGGCAAGCATCCATGGCAGAATGGGGATCTGAACCTCGTCCAGCACTCTAATCCTTACACCAGACTGGCTTACTCTCCCGGGAATATGTTCTTTGGATTATAGTTGAAGACATGTAGAAGCATAAGTATTTGTAGAACAGAACCAGCTTGATCAGATGCACACTGGATGCTGGTCTGTGGGAAGCATGCGCTACAAGGGAAGCGTGGTCTGTACAGTTTCTCAAAACTCCCTCCCTATTTGCTGCAACAGGCTAACAGGATTTCTGTTACTGTTTATTGTATCATATGGTTCTTCCTACATTGTCTCTTCTAGTATTTTAAATACATTCTGCCAATATTCTTTTGCTACTGAACATTGCCACCATATGTGTAAAAAGATAAGCCCACTTTTCTTTTACGTCTCCAGCACCCATTAGAGGGGAGTTTTTCCATTTTTGCTGCTCTGTCTGCTGTTGGGGGTGCCATCTGCATGTGACCTTTAATATATTTCCTCTTACACTTGCATTCAAAGAACTCCTCACAATGTCCTCCTTGCCCAAGTTAAAAGGCTCAAGGTCATGGTCTTGACAGTAAAGCCCTTAGCGGTCAGGGACCACCATACCTTTGGGACCACCTCTCCCAGCCAATGTTCCCTCTAAGCTGTGGAGTCTTGTGAGCAAAAACTCTACTTTGTGAGCTACTGGCATTAAAGTTGTGAGCGAGCAATTTGGCTACTGCATAAATTAGTTTGCTCTGGAGCCCTCCTTCCTGAGCTAAGGCAAAAATGTGTGAGCCAGAGGCTAAACAACTGTGAGCTAGCTCACACTAACTCAGCTTAGAGGGAACACTGCTCCCAGCATGCACCTGGAAGAGCATTACGCTCAGGGAATAAGAACCTCCTGGCGGTCCCCAGCAGAGAGAGATTCAGCTGTCCTCAACCACAGCCAGGGCTTTTTTTGCCCTGGCCCCCACCGGGTGGAACTCTGCCGGAGAGAACATCCATGCCCTTTGGGAGTTGCTACCTTTCTGCAGGGCATGCAAGGCAGAGACGTTCCACCAGGCACACCTGGCGCTCTCGTATACTCTCCCCATCCCTTGTAACCCCTCCTCCTAGAGGGCTGGGGAACTGAACTTTTTTTCCTGCCATCTTGAAATGTATATGGTTTTATTTATTGATCTGTTTTATGTAGTTTTAATATCGGTTTTAAGTTAAAGCATTTTTTGTACACTATTTTGTTGTAAACCGCCCCGAGCCCTACTTGTAGGGAAGGATGGCCTAGCAAATCTACGTTAAGAGATAAATAATAAAATAAATTCCACCCTTAGTATATTAACCAGCAGGGGTCATCTCATAGAAAAAGAGGGGCAGGAGCTCATTAGCATAACTCATTAGCATAACTTATTTGCATATGCTACATATGTGACATCACTGGAAGTGTGTCAGAAGGCAACACCCACCGCTCAGGCCCCACTGGACTGTTTTGGATTGCTAGCTATTGGGGGGGGGACATGCAGATCTGTCCTCTCAGAGAGGGAGAGCTTGTACCTGAATAAAACTTGGTCTTAAAGGTGCCACTGTACTGTTTTGGACTGAGGGGGCGGGGGGGGGGCTCTGTAACTTACCTGGCTGCTTCTTCCTCTGACTGAGGGCTGCTGGAAGCAGGGGGTGGAGCTTGTTGCATGTGCCCACCCCCTGGGCTCTTTACTGCCAGAGCTCTGCTCCTGTGTGCTCCTGCAGGAAATGACCCCTGTTAACCAGTTATGACCTTACAGACCAAGGGCACCTGAGATGCCAGCAAGATTTTCATCAGAGGCGAAGGAGCCTTGACTTTTGAAAGCTCAAAACCCCAAAATCTTGTTGGTCTCTAAGCTGCTCCTAGACTTGAATCTAGCTCTTTTATTTGAGACCAGCAAGGCTCCCCTCTGAGACTGTAGACCAGAGGGCTCTCTTCTGCACCCAGTATAAGAGGGAGTCATTTCTTTTGTTTATCCAGCTGGCTAAGAACAGTCTCCAAATCTTTTAAAGCACGGGATATGTCCATTTGTGACTGCTTCGTGTCCATAAAGCTTCTAATCTGGAGATACAAGGAGGGGCTGTGGCTCAGTGGCAGATCCACCTACTCAGCGCACAGGAGATCCCAGGTTCAATCCCTGGTACCACCAGTTTGCAGGATTGGGATTTAGGTGATGGGAAAGACTTCAGCCCTGGAGAGCTGCTGCCAGTCTGAGTAGATAATATTGACGTTGATGGGCCATTGGTCTGGTCCAGAATCAGGCAGCCAGCTCCATGAGTATGTTCAGGACTGGTACTCCTGGCAAGACCCAAACTTGTTGATATACTCACTTAGCTTCAGTAGATGGCACTGCACACCCAGTTTCCACTGTGTCAGGTTCCTGCAGCAGTCGGATTTCTCCTGAGTCCTGCCTGTGCCAGAATGGAGAACACCTGGAAATGTGGCAGATAATTGATACTTCTGCCATTTGATGCTGTAGAGCAGGTATGTCCAACAGGTAGATCACAATCTACCAGTAGATCGTGGAGGGGTCAGAGGTAGATCACCAGTCCCACTTGGTCTCACTAATGATCTCACTAATGAGCAGGAACAAGTTTTAAAGGTTGAGCAAGATCAGCCGGGATCAATACGTGACCTACATTTAACACAAATAACTCTGAATAAAAGTTAAAGAAAGTTATTGAGACAGTTAAAGAAAGTTATAACTCAATTAAAAATGTTCGCAGTTCTTTCTGGATCTTCGTCTCTCTGTTTTGTTTTTGCTGATTTTGCTTACCAGTAAATGACAGAGGAGCTGCGGTGGCTCAAGTGGTGAAGACGCTGAACTGCAGGCTGTGGAAGGTCAGCAGTTCAAGACCTGAGTTGCCGCATGATGGAGTGAGCTCCCGTCTCTAGTTCCAGCTCCTGCCAACCTAGCAGTTCGAAAGCAAGAAATTGCAAGTAGATAAATAGGTACCACTTCGGTGGGAAGGTAACAGCGTTCCGTGCGCCTTGGTGTTTAGTCATGCCGGCCACATGACCACGGAAACGTCTTCGGACAGCGCTGGCTCTTCGGCTTTGAAACGGAGATGAGCACCGCAACCCTAGAGTCAGATTCGACTGGCTTTCGAGCAAGGGAACCTTTACCTTTACTTTAAATGACAGAAGGTGCATTATAAATGGGGGGGGGGATGGTGGAACCCAACTTTAGTGGGTTAAAATCTAATTTGAAACTAATTTGAAACTTTATTTTCATGGTGGTAGATCACCAGCACTTTTGGCCAGAAAAAATAGATCACTACCTGTTCGAAGTTGGACATGCCTGCTGTAGAGAGCCAGGAAATTTCAAAAGTACATGCGGTTTCACCATGAAGAGCTGGTATTTTTTCTTTTTCTTTCCTCCACTCAAAGTAAAAATATGAGTTTCATGTTTTGTCCAGAGCTGTAGGGTTACCAACAGGCATGCAGAAAAATGTCCTGTCCCTTTAAGAACATGGGGAATATGTGGAAATGGGCACAGCTGAAGGTTTTCAAGGCATGGAGGTAAATAACTACACCTGGTAAGTAATATCCCATTAAGCCTCCACTAAGTGGTTAAGACTGCAGGCTGGAAGGTTGGTAGTTCAGCAGTTCGAGACCCGAACTCCTGTCTGGTTCCAGCTCCTGCCAACCTAAGAGTTCAAAAGCAAGAAATTGCAAGTAGATAAATAGGTACCACTTCGGTGGGAAGGTAACAGCGTTCCATGCACTTTGGC